TTTCTTGCCATCTACCTTTGAACTAGCAGACGTGGTGAGATGAATCCGTTTCCCAAAACAGGTAGTAATTTCAGTGTTCTGAGCTTATTATACCAAAAAGTATGTATTCCGAGACACTGAGTAAAAAACAAAGTACTGCTGGGCCTATAATTACAGCAAAGCATTGAAAACAGTCAACAAGATGACTCAAGCTTGAAAAATACCTAAATAATAGCTGTCAGAAATAGCTTTCTGCTATAGATTATATCCTCCAAGTACTTGCTTACTTTCATCTCAAATTCAAAAATTCAACATTAAAATTCCATGAAGAATGCATAGTTTCTGCACTACACAATAACTCAAAATAAATGATTCTCTGAAGCAACAGTTTTTATTTAAGTTTGCCTGTTATATAAGGAAAAGGCTGGAGTCTCTAAGTCCTTAGGGGATACAGCAAGCCAGCAAACAACTCATTAAATTTCCCTAAAACAGAGTTTTCAAAGACTCAACTCCAAGTACAAAGGAACCTTTAGATATGCCCCACTCATAAAAACCTCTTTGCATTTTCTTTACATCTTGGTTCCTTGCTCCAAATGGTCTCTAACTTGGCCGCCATCAAAAATAACTGAGTCTTTTAAAAACATCAGTTTGTGGGGATTCTATGACCTGGTGCAGCCTGCTTCTGAGACAGAGCATGGGGACAATACTTTAAAGTTCCCTTAGTAACTCCACTGTACAAGTCCTGTTAAAAGAAAGGACTTGTGCCACTAACAATCTCTTCACTGTGTAAATGAGTCACTAAAGGTCACAGGGTTTATAGATGTGTTAGGAGGACAACATTCAAAACCATAATCAGGGATGCATTTAAAAGTACAGCAACTTTCTACAACTTCACATACAGTGATTAAGAAGTACACTACAGTAAACATGGCTCTTTATCTCGAAAAGACTAGAAATATACCTGTGAAAGTAGGCTTTAGACGGGTTATACCCATGAGTCGTGGATGAGTTTGGCTCGTAATAAAAGAGTAAGCAACAGCAACAAGCAAAGGACTGCAGTGCCTGACAGGAACGCATGACTGAGCAACTTGGCTCAATGGGTACCATTCATGAATTAACATGGCGCTTCCTCCGCTTCCACACAGTAGGAGAACACACATAAGGCTCAACTTGTTCCTTAACATAGCACTTGGGTTATAACAAATTCACATCTCAAGTCAAATGCCATATAAGAACTAACACTATCTCCTGAGAAGGAGCTAATATAAATTATATAGCATTACATATAGTTACTGTATATAATAAACATATTACATACACAATGCTTGTATCATGTGGCTACTAAGTATTAACTATATCATCAAAAACATTTTTCTACTTTGTGTTCAAAAGGTTATCAATATCTCCCTTCAAATAAATTGTATTATTGAGTATTACCTATACCACCATAATGTATAGGAACAGTGTACTTGGATAGCTGTAAATTTAATAACCAACAAAACACAAAGTAAAAATGGTCTTCTATACAGTGTAAGACAAAAGAAGGAAAATGGCTACAGTAGCTGGAGGGATTGCTCAGTGGTTAAGACTCTTTGCTACTTTTACAGAAGACCAAAGTTGGGCTCACAGACACCTGGAACTCCAGCTCCAAGGGACCTAACACCCTTTTCTGGACTCTGAGGGTACCTACATACAATGAGTACATGTATACACACACACACACACACACACACACACACACACACACACACACACACCACATACATATGCACATCAATAAAAATAAATCTGTTTCTGAATAGTAAAATAGCTGTTAAACACATGAAAAAAGAAGTTAATTATGCTCACTTTTAGAGAAATACATGATAAAACCATAGCGTATTTCATTTAGTATTATATATCCTGTATTATGTTCTAAAGGTCATTGAAAAGACAAAAACTAAGTGAAATGACTGATTCCAGATTTAATTTTCGGTCAAGGTAAGAAAAGGCTATTACTGGAACAGTGGACAAGAGTTGGAGGCTAAGCAGATAGATAGATCAACAGATCCAGTGCTTACCTCACAGGCATGAAGACAACTGGAATTCAGATCCCCAGAATCCACCTAAAAGCCAGGCCATGGCTTCCTGGGATTGAACTCAGGGTGTTAGACTGCACAGTAAGTGCTTTTAGCCACTGAGCCATCTCACCAGACCAAGAAATGTATTTTTAACAATATTTTAACAGTAACATGTAATATGACTAAACTATTATAATTTGACTCATTGTATATCAGATATATTCTTAGAAAACACATGCACAAATATTTTGGAATAATGGGACATAATATATCTTTAACCACCTCATAAATTGTTACACTTCCTGCGACAGTGAAGAAATGGATATTAATTTATCCACTTACATAAAACGATAGCTAGACAAGAATATATAAAATTAACAGCACTCAAGAGACACTGGACATCAGTAAATAAAACAACAATCCCTCAGAGTCTATCAATCGTGACCCAAGCCCTAACATAACTAAGGCTGACTTGGTAAAAAAAATAAATAAAAAATAAAAGTCTAGGTCACAATTAAGCAAAACCCCAGTAACGTCCAGTTGAGAAGAGTGATTTCAGCACACAAAGGGGCCAAAATGCCTAGGGGACTAGCAGAACTCATAGTTCCCCTGGAGAAAGAACAGGGACAAAGCATTCATTGTAAAAGGGAGGTGGACACAGAAAATTCTGGAGACCAACAGAGACTCTTCCTCAATCTCAGAGGTGAGTCCTGGACAGGCTGCATGTGTGAGGAAACCACGAAAGCCTAGAGAGCCAAAACAAGATTGCAAGAAGCCACCTGAGAACTCATGACAATGCCCCAAAGTCAAACTGTACATTGTTATAATAACTAGGCACTCTTTGGAGCATTAAGATGATCTTGCTATGTAGAGAAGATAAAGTGATCAGACATGAAATCAATCCTAGTTGGACGTAACAAACGCAAAAGCAAGAAACAAGAGGATTACACTGTCTGCAAGTGGTTCAGCGGCATCCCAAAGCAAAGCTCAAGAATATGGAGGACAATAAACACATCTGACAAGACACGAAGGAAAGTCCATGGCACCTGGAAGCAAATCACGGGTTGATTAGACAGAGAGTGCAGGAGAGTGCCACTGACTAAGAAGAAAAGCTAAGCCAGGAAAGGCTGGGGGACATACAGCTCGGTGGCAGCATGCTGGCCCAGCAGAGACAGAGCCCTGGGTCTGAGCCTCAGCACCACATGGGGGAGTGGAGAACAGGAAAGACACAAAAGCAGCACACACGATAGAACAGCAGGATAACTGAACAGTTACCATGACTACATCAAGGAAACTAGAAGAAACAAACATATTGAGTAGAAACATGGAAAACACATAAAAGATTGACTGAACAAGATGTTTACGATTTACTCATTATTAATGGGACTTACACATAATCTTCAAAGAAATTAAAGCTATAATGAGAAATCACATTTGTCCTTTTTAATTCACTCTGAGTTGAATTTTGTAACTGGTGACTGACAGACATTTACTTTCATTGTTCAGCACATGGCTATGCAGTTTTTCCATAACTTTAACTTGGGAACCTGGTCTTTTTCTATGATGTGTTCTTAGTATCTTGGCTGAGAATCACTGGGTCATGTATCATTCCTTTATCTTTTTGGTTCTTGCCAAAACTACCTCTTGCTTTCAACCTCATGATTCTATGTTTTGCCACCTAGTTGGAGAAACTGTAGAGAATAAACATAACTTATTAGCCTCCCAAGTACTGTCTACTACAGACTTCAAAAAGTTGAAAAAAGGGTCTTAGGACTTGGAATGTTTTCATCAACAAGAAACACATAATCAGGGAAACAAGGTTTTTAATTATTTTTTATTAATTCTTTAAGAACGTCATACTGTGATCATTTTTAGCCCCCACATTTTCCCAGTGACCCTCTCCAGGGTCACCTCCCTGCACACCCAACTTATTATTTTTAAGCAAAGTCCAATTTGTGTTGCTCAACTACTCCTAAGGAGTGGGACCTGCCTGCAATGGGATCTACGACCTACCAGAGATCACACAATTAAAGAAAAGTGATTTGTTTAATCTATTTAAATGTTTCTAAACATTTCACAATGTAGAAATTTTCAAAACATCACTTGGTAATGCATGAATATTCATCCACTGAAAATAAATTTAAGGCTAGGCGGGGTGGTGCACACCTTTAATCTCAGAACTTGGGAGGCAGAGGCAGGCATATATCTCTTTGAGCCATACCTCTTAAGGCCAGCCTGGTCTACATAGTAAGTTTCAGGACAGCCAGGCCTAACTAAGTAAAGAGACCTTGCCTCAAAAAAAAAAAAAAAAAAAAAAAAAAAAAAAAAAAAAAAAAAAAATTAATTAATTTTTACCTAAGAAAAGAAAGGGAGTAAATAAATGAAAAAAATTAAAGGAAGATAGAACAAAGAGAAAGTCAATGTTAAAATACTAAATTGAACTATATTTAATAATAATATCAAATAACCACATTAAAATTTGAACTGAAAGGATATTAAAGTAAGCACATAAACATTTACAGGATCAGGAACCGGGGAGACACCTCAGTGTGCAAACAAGGTGGTTGTACAAGTTTGCACATCTGAGTACAAATCCTTACACACCCACATAAAAAAGCCAGACATGATCACGTGCGCCTGTAATCCCAGTGTTTTAAGGTAGAAATAGGTGGATCCCCGAAGCTGGCTGCCCAGACAGTCTCTAGCCTAAACAAGTCCCTCACTCAAGGGACTAAGGTGGAGAGAGACAGCAGATAGCCGTCGTCCTCCTCTGACCTCCACACGCTGCGCTCAGGTGTGTGTATCGCACACGCACATATCTCTACATACAAGCATACATCATATCTGGGAGAGTGACAGGAGGCAGATAAAATTTACAACACTGCAGGCTCATTCTACAGTATGATCTATCTGTTGTAAGGACAACTATGATGCCATACAAACGAATGAAATCACTCTTACCTTGGACACATTACTGACGTAATTCACCTGCACAGTGCTTTCTTTATCAACTTGATTACAGAGATTCTGTAAATTGCATGCATATTCTTTATCGCTTTTTATTCTCAGGGCCATAAATTTCTTCACTGTTTCCAGGAACCGTAATTCCCAGTCCTGCAACTTTAACACAGCTTCCTGTGAGTTCCGCAGGTCACTCCCAAATCCCATTTTGTAAGGTACTGCTTGTCTTCTACACCGTACAAGTGAGCCTGCTAGTCAGCACATCTCTGTGGACAGAAACATAAGAAGTCTCAGTTAGAAGGAACCTGGTCCTCAAAGCAAAAGCATGGTCCACTGTTTTAACTTAATGACAACTAGATGTCTTCTCCCAAAGATCAGGAAGAAACTGAGGCTGTGCACTGTGTTGATGCTGCATTGAAGGCTCTGAGTACCGTAATGACATCATAAAATAAAAGGCATTTAGGAGAGGGAGTTGGAGAGATGGTATGCTGTTCTTCTAGAAGACCTGAGTTCAGTTCTCAACACTCACAACAGCCTGTACTCCAACTCAGGGGATCTGACACCTCTGACTCCTCAGGTACCTGCACTCACTCACATGCACACGCACACACCCACACAGACAGACACACATATACACAAAACTAATATTAAAAATAATCAGATCAGACAAGGAAGAAGTGAAGTGATTTCCATTTGCAGATGACACCACTTCACACACAGAAGATCCAAGAATCTTAACGAGGGTATCAGAATGATTCTGATAAATTACCAAGCATGACTGATAGAGAGGAAACGTCCTCCATGAACTCATATGCCAAATGTCTCCTTCCCAGCTAAGGATGCTCTTCAAGAGGTAGCGGGAACTCTAGATGGGGAGCCTCACTAGACAGAGTAGGTCATTAGAATGTGCTTTTAGAGATCACTCCTAGTCCTGCCCTTTCCAATTCCTGGTTTCCAAGGTGAGCAGCTTCTACACACACACACACACACACACACCTGCTACCATGATATACTCCACATCAAAAGCTCAGAAACAGTCAAAGGTCCATGGAAGGAAACCAATAAAACTGTGAGCCAGAGTAAACCCTTCTTCCCTTATGTGGCATTTCTCACACATCTGATCATGCAACACAGTGCTAACACGTGCAGTGACAGGTCAGGGTTAAAAAAAAATCAATCTAATGTCCACATATCAGCAACAACCAACCCAAAAAGTTAAATTAAAAATAAATTCCAAGCCAGGCTGTGGTGGCATAAGCCTTTAATCCCAGTACTCGGGAGGCAGAGGCAGGTGGATCTCTGAGTTGGAGCCCAGCCTGGTCTACAGAGCAAGTTCCAGGACAGCCAGGGATACACAGAGAAATTCTGTTTTGAAAAACCAGAGGGGGAAAAATCAATTCCATTTATAAAAATGTCAAAAAAAGAATAGAATACTTGGGAACAAGTCTTATTTTAAATGCAAACTTGTGTTCTTCCAACTAAAAAGCTGAAATTATAAATGAGTTCCTAAAACAATCAAAGGAGAAAGAATTAATGTGTTAACAAAGCAAGAGATTCCAGTTTGATCTATACATTTGACATAATCTGTATTAAAAACATTTTGTAAGTGAAAGAAATCATGACACAAAAGACCACATATTGTATAATTCTACTTACATGACATGTGTAAAATAGGGCAATTAGAGATATAAAATAAATCTGTGGTTGTCTACAGCGAGTGAATTTGGAGAGAAATGGAGAATGATACCTGAGAGGTATTGGATTTCTCTCTGTGGTGATGAAAGTGTTCTAAAATTGACTGGGATGGCAGCACAACTCTGTGAGTTGGTTAAAAGCAACTAAACTGCACAGTTCCATCGGATGAATTCTTAAGTATGTGAGTGTTATGTTTTAGATACAGTTTGATGCGTCCCTCAAGGCAGTATGCATTGGCATTTAATCCCCAAGGAGAGGTAATAAGAAGGTAGAAATTGAATCCCACCGTGGTACTTAGCAGGAGGGCCTCTGGGAGATGATCAGGATGAGCTAAGTTATTAGCATGGAGACCCATGATTAAATCTTGGTACCAATAGCTTTATAAGAGGGAGACAACCCAGAAATTACTCTGCCTGCCTGCCTTCTCCCCCTCCTTCTCTCACACATATCACACATATCACACACACACACACACACACACACACACACACACACACACACACACACACTTACTCCTTGAAATGGTCTGAACTTGGGTCTCTGGCAGTATCCTCAGATGTGGCTCGTTGACCTTGAACCTCCAACCCTAAGCCCCAATGAACCTGTCTTATTTATAAACTCACGCTGTCCACGTTACAATGTGATGGGTGACAGAAAGTGGACAAGAACTCAAACAGTAACTCAAAACAGTTATTTCAAAATCACTAAGACATAACAAGATCAAATATAGACCAGCTATCATAAACTTCCCCAAGATATCCTCCTTGTTTACTATAAATCCTGAAAACTACTGCAAGATGTATTTTGTCCTCCTGTTTGTCTTTCCAGCAGTGACTTTCACAGCAGACAGAAGAACTGTGAAACATGCCTTCCATTTCCAGTTCTGGACCATCCAGGCTACAAGTCAAGGGTTTCACTGTTGTGGTAGTGGCTCTTTGCTTGTTCTTTTGTGGGGTGATGGAAATTGAACCCCAGGCCTCCTCACACATGCTAGGCAAGTGTTCGCTACACTGAGCTACAGTCCAAACCCTAGAATTCTGTTTCCAGTTAAGGACACGGACACCATCTAAGCTACAGATACAAAAAGAGGTTTCTCTCTCTAACTTCATCTGAAGACATGTCAAAAAATATTGTTCTCCAAGTATAGAATAAATTACAATTGTTCCCCAACTGAAAAATGTTCAATTGTATGAACTATAAAGTAATTAGAAAAAAATGTTTATGAGTTGGAAGAAACTCCTTGCTAAAATTTCCAAAGCAGCAACCAAGACTGAGTGGCCCTTAGCTGAATCCTAACTAGAGGGACCAGCTTATTCACCTGAGTATCAAACAGTGATTCCAGGATTTGGGCCCCAGACATCGGCTTTAAAACCATGACATTGGGCCTGGGTGTAGCTCAGTGGTAGAGCATTTTCTAGTATGCAGAAGCCCATGGCTCAATCCCCAGGGCCACATGGAAAAGACAATCATTTGTGGGGCACAAAAATGGACATTGATATTTTGTTGTTGCTATTTTTACCTACAGCTGGTAGAAACACACTTCTTACCCCATGTTCAGCCAAAGAATAAGTATCTTTGAAGGAAGAAATGTTGAGAATATTTTAATTTCTAAAAAACAACAGAAAAAGAAAAACCCTAAATCCTAAATCTAAGATTGTGATTCATTTTAGTCCAAACGTGGCATAAATACCATCTCTGCTTCTAAATACATCCTTGATAAGCATTTTTTTAATTTCTACTTCAAAAAAATTGTGTAGAGCTCAGGGAAAAAAAGGGAAAACAGACTCTAGCAAAATATGGGAAATGTTCCAGCCTGTCCTAAGAGCTTATTTATGTCTATTAATATTCTAGGTCAGAATATACATGTACCTCTCTTTAGGAAAAAATGGAATAAGAATATTTTTTTAAAGTAAGGCAACTCCATAATAAATTAACTGTCTAGTTGTTAGACTGCATGACACAGCAAATGTTTAAGGATGTATCAGATCGATACACTAAATGAAACAAAGGTAAGGCAACTCCATAATAGACTGTGTCTAATTGTTGGACTGTTCGATATGACAGATACCTAGGGAATTAACTAATAGACTGATACAATACATAAACTACCCTATTCATGACAAATCAGATATATGTAAGACTAGTGTTTGCAGTAACACCAAACTACAGTATCCCAAATATCCACCTGCAGGCCGTGACTAAGTGGAGTGCAAACCAACCCATGTTTCACCTTTTCTACCAGGAATAGCCAAGTCAAGCAGGAGGAATGGGCTAGAGAGACCTAGTTATAGCAAACAATCCATTCAGGAACGTGGGGGTACATTTTTATGAAAATGTCTCTTACATTACAAAGACTGGAACTTTTGCTGGGCCTCACAGCCGAGCTCATGATATTCACTGAGCTCACACAGATTTCACCGGCTGTCCTACTGTGTACTCAGCCTGTTTGTTTAACCTGCCTTTGTGAGACTAGTGTAACATTACTTGTCTTGGATTTCCTATGTAATCAGCTTTTACAGCCTACGCTAATGCATAGCTATAATCTTTTTTTTTTTAAAGACTTATTTTATTATTTATTATGTATACAGAAGAGGGCGCCAGATCTCATTGCAGATGGTTGTGAGCCACCATGTGGTTGCTGGGAATTGAACTCAGTATCTCTGGAAGAGCAGTCGGTGCTCTTAACCTCTGAGCCATCTCTCCAGCCCCCGCATAGCTATAATCTTAAATCATGTATTCTTCCATGTCCCTGACCCAGATCAATTCATGTATGTATGTGTGTGTGTGTTAAGGCAATATTTGCTGAAAATAGCCCATAGGATCCACCATAAACATTGGGAGCAGCATATGGATAGCTTGATAACTGTGTGCTTACAATAGCACTTGTTATCTGACTCAGCTGGGGTCAGTAACTTAATCCCTTGTAAAACCGTTAGGGACTTCTGTAAAGTATCCCTCCTTCCTTTCCCATGTGATGCTTCCTGTGCTGGTCAATAAATACAGAACAAAGCTCTTCTTAGGAATGGGTCAGAAACAAATATCAACTACAAACTACAAACAGATGAAGACACAGGGAGAGGAGTGGAGAATTCAAAGTTGGGTTCACTCCTGGGTCAAATTAATATAAGGGGAATTACTGAGTTTTCTTCCTTTCCATGACATCAACACATTCGGTGCCTCTGAGGATGTCATTAATATGTCTGACTGACACACAGGAACTTTCCGTACTCACAGATCTGAGGGACTCCTTCCTCATTCAGAGACACCAGAACAGGCAAGCAGGACAGGAAAGAAGGACCCAGCTTTTGCACAAAGTACAATCCAAGAACCCACATGTCTTCCTCAACCTGAAGACATCAGGCAAGCATAATGTGGTAAGAAAATCCCAGCACGTCCTTCCCCTCCAATAGATATCTAAGACTTGATCTAAGAAAGAATGCTCTACCTTCTCAGGTAGCCTAAGTAGGAACCACAGGGAGACCAAGATTTATCAAATAAATCAAGGAAACTGAAACAACAGTGCAAAAAAAATTAAACTATCACTGGAACAGTATCCCATAAAAGCAGACAA